AAAAACCCAACAGCGTGGATTTTCTCTTTGACTTTTTAACTATGTTACCAAGCATCTAAGCATTTAAAGGCTTTCCTACTTAGTACGCAAATCTAGTAACCATATTTACTGACCCTCAAATCTATTTACTGACTTTAACAGGTATGAGACTGTTTATGGAGACCAGAAGATAATACTTGGAGTTGATAGTCTAGGATTACTGAAAAGCTATGCCTGCTGTTCCTACAGAAGATAAAATATGCTTTATCCAGGGAGAGTACCTGGCCTCTCTGCTGGAGCCCTAGAGCCGCTGGTTCTTGTTTATAACCCTCCTGCCCATTTGCTTCAGCGTTTAGTCACTAATGCTCATGTGATAGCTGGGTCTGCCCTATGGTCTTGAGTGTAAGTTTAGTGAGGGTGAGACTACTTTAGGCCTGGGATTAGCTCTTCTGCCATTTTGCTGTGTCATCTTGGATAATTCATTAAAAAAAGCAAAACTGCTGAGATTCTTGCTTTCTAGGGACTTAGCCCAGTAGAAAACAGTTGTATGTGGACCTAAGTGACTACCTAGTTCAGTGCCTACAGGGTGAAAGGATTTTTGTTACAATACCAAGAATGAACAAAGCCTTCTGTGCCTCACTCCTCATGAGCGAGTGTGAGCGGCACACCAAGGTGATTAAGAGATCTGTACCGGGTGGTGCTCGCACAGCCAAGCGTGAGAACATGGGCGGGAGCCGTGGCCTGGGCAGCCCTGGAAACTGCTCATCAGCAAGTGTGTTGCAGTCCCACTGCATAACCAGGTCTGGCCCAGCCATCTTCCAGGCTTGAGGAAGGGCGTTTCTTTTGATCTTCTTTAGATGTAGGTGGCATTCTACTCTTTTTCTTGCCCCAATGGGATTGGAAGGGGTTTTGGGGTGGACTTTATACCCTAGTGGTTAGTAGAAGCCAGTGAACACGTAGCTTCCTGTTCTGCCAGTCTGGTTTAGAGCTAAGAGGCCTGAGGCAGATTCCATTCACCTCTTTTCTCCAGTGCAACACTGGCATAAAGTATTCTTTATATCAAGTTTTATTATTCTTAGTATCGGGACTAAGAATTAGGCATCTGTTTAAGTAAACTCTAAGGTCCAGAATAATAGACTGGGTTATTTATTACAAAAACACCTATCTGAAAGGTTGGGGTGAAGGTAGTCCAACTGGGCCTTGGTGTTTCATCATTGAGGGAGGATCCCAGCAACCCTAGATGACAGCCCTGTCTGCTGGATGTGACCCTCTCAGACCCTTCATTCTCAGCTGTGAAAGGGGGAACATAACCTTCAGTTTACAGGGCAGTTGTAAGGTTGCAGATAACTACAGAGTGCTTAGCACCCTTAAGGAATTATAGTACTGTTCTTTGTGTGTGAGTGGTACCAAAGGTTGGACATGGAGTGTTCACACTGAGCTACATCCCCAACCCTTTGCTTAATTTTAATTTTTTAAAATTTTATTTTGAGATAAGGTCTCCTTAAGTTGCCCAAGCTGGGCTCACACTTGCCACTCTTGCCAGGATTACAGATGTATGTCACCATGCCTGGCATCTCTATTCCATTTTTGACCTATCAGAAGCTGTACTTGAGATGCAGATGTATAGCTGTATTCTCAGGTTTGGCTTCCTCGGCAGGATGCTTTTTCACTTCAGCCACCAGGTATCCCCCAAAGAAGATAAGATGTTGGGTAATGCTGTTTTTACCTCTGTAAGCATCTGTTGCTGCTGAGAGTATGCCTAATGATTCCTCATGAGGGACAGACATCTGACTGGGTCCTAAGATACCTGGCAAGCCATTAAGTGGATAGCATTTCCTGCTGAAGTGTGCCCAGTAACCCTTCACGTGCCTGAAGTATTGGTGATTATATCAGCAGTGTGGCTCAACTTGCACACACAACAACTCTGATTTCCTTAATAGGAAGGAATATGAGTTAGTCCTGCAAGAATTTGTGCCAGGCTGGTGGCACACACCTGTAATTCCAGTGCACAGGAGGCTGAGGCAGGAGGATTGCTGTGAGTTCAAGGCCTGCCTCAAATGCATAGTGCAATCCTGTCTCAAAAAGATAAAAAAATAAGAATTTGGAAAAAAATTCTTGCCTAATTTTGTGATACCAGTCTAGGTTACCTAGTGAGTTCAAGGCCAGCCTGAACTATGTTGTGGGTCCTTGTCTTAAACCTTAACTCCTAAGGGAGAAAATTGTTTTTATTTATTCAAGACAGGGTCTCACTGTGTAGTTCAGGCTGGGTCCTGCACCTGGCCCTAACCTGGTCTAACTAGTGGCAGTTTTCCTGCCTCAGCCTCCGAAGTGTTGGAATTACAGGTATGTGCCATTACCCCTTTCATCTGTAAAGAGAAGATCTTGACGTCTGTACCTGCAGATGAGTTAGATATTTGAATGAGGTACTATATTTCAGAAAGCTTTGGGTCTGGGGCATAGGAAGTGTTTAGTGATGTGAGCAAAACTTTCTAGTTAACACTTTGGTTGATAGTACACACCTACATCTTGTTCTAGTATTGAGATGGTAGAAGAAGATGAGATTAAAATTTGTCTACTGAAATGATGGCTAGAAGGCTTCATGGTGATTAGGAGTAAAGTTCCTTTCAATTCCATTTTTTCCCCCTTAACCATTTATTTGGAACTTGAGTCTTACTGAAGAACAATACTGTTATGTTAGTTTTGACAGGGAAACTCGTCAGGATTGATGGAAGAATATTTAAATACAGATGGTTGGTTTTGGGTATTCACATTCTAGAGTTAACCTTTTAAATAGTAGGGATTTTTTTCAGGAAAAGCATTACTTAACTTGTAGTTACATAATTACAATAATGTAGCAGGCTGGGCTTGATGGGGCTTACTTGTAATCTTACTTGTTTGGGAGCCTGAGGCAGGAGAATTGCAGTTTGGAGGCCAGCCTGGGCAATTTTGCAAGACCCTATCTCAAAATTTAAAAAAATAAGAAGGACTGGAGGTTCAGCTCCGTGGTGGAGTACTTGCCTAGCACGTGCAACAGAGGTGCTGAGCTCTTCCCTTTCCTTCGTAACACTTCCCATTTACCACCATTGTGTACAAGATGTGGGGCCACTTCCCTGTATCGTATCCTTTACGCTATGTGACCTCCTTGTGCCCCAGGCACTGTCATGGAGGTGGAGATGATACACTACTGCCTAGCCCAGGTCACAGAATTTGGTAGTCTGAATTCCCACCAGCTTTATCAGATTTTAAAGTGTAAATTCTTCTTGTAGTTTATTTCCTGCAAAAAATCATGAACTCTTAATTTGCTTTTCCTTATTTCTTTGGTTAAGTCTGAAATCAGTGGCTGTTTGCATTGGGTGTCATGTCAGGGGATTGACCAGAGGCAGGCACATCACAGTGGGCAGGGCCAGGTGCAGGACCCAGAGTCCTTCACACAGGTTGTGTGAAGATTGGGTCATCTTTCTTTGCCTTCGGGTTCTCACTGGAAATATAGTCAACTGGTTGCCCAGAAATGGACGTACTCTTTGTTTAATCTGCATTTTATTGCCTATAGTGTTTTTTCTCTCCCTCTCCCTCTCACCCCCTGGGGGGAGGCCAGTTATTTGACAGGAAGTCCTCAGAGAATCTCAGACTAAACAGGAAGTGACTATTCCCATATAAAAGGTTCTAAAGGAAGGAGGATGGTCAGGGGAAGGAATGGAAAAGATTGATACTGGCACTTGACCTGGCAGTTATCTGTAGTGGATTTTCTGTAAAGACCTCTAGCTAGGTTTATAGTCTGTGAACGTTTCTTAAGTAAATCTGTCTCTCCATATTGGTTTCATCACCTTGCAGTGGAAATCATGTGGAAATGTACCTGGGTCTATTTACTTTGATTCCATTTGGTCGCTTTCTTCTTCTTAGTAGCTATTTTAACAAAAGATCAGCATTTCAAGTGTATGTCTTTGGCTTTACAAAAATTTAGCATTTATAAACAGCAAGGGTTTTTTCCTCACACGAGTTTCAGGATGAATAATGTTGGAGTAGAATGTCTCAATGTTAATAGTGTTAATGAACATGTGCTTTGGAGACAGACCTTCCTGGGTCTGAGCCCAAGCACTGACACTTGGTAGTTGGTATCATTTAGACATGTGAGACCTTTTCTCTTTGATAAAATAAAATGTTGTAAGATTTAAAAAGGAAACAAGTTTTCAAATATTTGCTGCTGCCACTACTTCATGAAGAAGGTGACTTTGAGGAAAGAACAGACAATTATGTTGTTTGGTTGGATTAGTTGGCTTTGTTCTTTCCTAATGTGGAAGCCATGGGAATTAACCCCTGGCTAGTGTATCAAAAACCAAATTCCTTTTGTTAGTGTCAGCCTAAATAGAATACTACTATGTATGTCCTTTCTAGAAAGGAAATTATTAGTCTTCCAATCTCTCTTTTATCTTTTAAAGTATATAACATCTGTTATCTACATGAAGTGTTTGGAAAACTTCCTGTTTACTCCAGTGTGTCGCTGATAAAGGATGTGGATAGTCATCTTATTGTTATTTTATTAAATAAACTTGGCCTGCTTTTTATAAACATCTTTAAATGTGTCAGTCTCATACTCAAGGTGTGTCTCTGCAACAACTTTCCAGCACTTTTTGTGATATTTAGAGGCTATAAAATGCAAAATTAGTCAGTGTGGTGGCACATGTCTGTAATCCTAGCACTTGGGAGGCTGAGGCAGGATTACTGAGTTTGAGACCATCCTGAGCTGTATAAGCAAGTTTAAGGCCAGCCTGCATTATATAGTGAGACTCTGTCTCAAAAAAAAAAAAAAAAAGAAAGAAAGAAATGGAAAAAAAGAAAGAAAGAAAGAAATGGAAAAAAAAAAAAAAAAGAAAGAAAATTCAAAATTAGAGCAAGTAGATCTCCTTATCTTGCTTGAAATCATTCTAGGACTTTCCACCTGTTGTGCTTCTCTCTGGAAACCTTGCTGATGACATGTTAATACTTACTTTGTTTTTGTGCTTCCTTTTCTCTTTTCTGGACAGAAACCAAAGCCCAAACCTCGGCCATCCATCACAAAGGCAACTTGGGAGAGTAATTATTTTGGGGTACCTTTAACAACTGTTGTGACTCCAGAGAAGCCGATTCCCATCTTTATTGAAAGATGCATTGAGTACATTGAAGCCACAGGTAAGAGTGTTACCTCACAGCAGGTAATAGCTTTTGCTGTCTGCAGGACATTTTCAGGAGGGCCAAGCTTGTTGGCGTTGTTTATTTAGTGTGGGATGATCCGATGGCTGTCAGATTTGTGGCTCCTCTGTTTTTGTGCAGATGTGAGGCTGTTGTGTGGCATTTACTGACTTCTTTGTTTGCTGGAGCAGTTGTATTCTCGGGACTGCAGTCATGACAGGTTAGATCCCTTCTCTGTGCTGGCCTCAACTCTCAGCCATGCTTGCAACACTGTTCGGCAGTTGCCTGGCTCTCTGTGTCCCCTGTAGATTTGTAAACTCCTTGAAGGCAGGGATATGGTTTTATTACCCTGTTGTGCTGTGTTGTGTTGTATATACTGGACACATAACCGATTTTTAAGTAATAAATAGCATAACTGTTGCAGCCCCTGGCATTGCTGAACAGATGCCTAAGACTTGTCATTAATAGTATATTTTTTCTGAAACAAGAAAACAATCAGGATGTTTGGCCATCTTGAGGTCCTGAATGTTGGGTTCAGCACAAAGACAGATTAACTTAAAATTTTTCTGCAGCATTCTTAAAATGACAAGATTTTACTTGCATTAAAACCATTTATTTCATTCAGAGTTCTCACCTATGTGTCTCTTTGGCCTTCCGGTTTCACATCGTTGTTTCCCCTGATTTTTCTCCTGGCTGCTCTCAAAGTTGATGATCTTTGGGGAAAAGATAATATAGCATTAATAATTGAGCTGAAAAATACAGGTTTATGCTTATTTGAAACTAAGGGACTATAGTCTCTTTGGTGTTCTTTTTAATGCCACTGTTGTATCTCATGATCCTAAGCACTGTGTGGTGTGGACAGCCCACCAGGCAACATCCTGTGCAGCCTAGTGACTGTGTGAATATTTATTTAGGATTTGCCAAATCAGGGAAGACAGCTTTCAAGTTGAAGTCCACCAAATACTATAGTTATGTCCAGGGTTTCCTCTGCAGCACCCAGGGTTGAATAATCATAGCAGATCTGCAGCCTAGCTTCGTCCATTCTGTACCTAAAATCTCTCAATGTCCATCTTTCCACAGTGCTTTCATATAAACATTTGTTTTTGGCATCTGCCTCTCAGACAAGGAGAAAATTTGCAGGAAGCAAGTTTGAGTGGTCAGGGCCTCTCCTTCTTGTTGATCTACATTTCAGAGAGATTAGGATTTTCATAAAGCGCCTTTTTCCTTAATCTTTTCATTTAGATTTCTAGAGAAGTTATACATATGGATAACTGTTAATAAATTATGTTATAAAAACTTCTGCTGCCCTAAATTTTAACATTTAAATTTGCTTTGTCATTGTTTGTCTCTGTATACCTTCTTTTATCTCCATAAAAATTTTGAAGCTGGGTGTGGTGATGTATGCCTGTAATCCTGGCACTCCTGCAAGTTTCAGGCCACCCTGGGCTAAAATAGTGAGTTGAGTGGCTGAACTGTACAGCAAGACCCTGTCTCAAAAACCAAAGGAAAAAAAATTGAAAGTCACATATATAATGCCCCTTTCCTAACAAATATGTTAGTGTGTGTTTCCTGAAAACATTCTCTTATGAAAGCTCCTTGTAATTATCCTACCTTATACTGAGACCTATTAATACATCTGTGTTTTAAACCAGATGATGTCCTGTGAGCTTGTTCTTCTCTTGTTAGAGACTCTGAAAACATGGCTTGCTTTTTAAAAATGACTTACTTTAACTGACAAACCAAAATTACATACATTTATGTTATATAACTTGTTTTGAGACACAGATGTGTGGGAAGCATGACTGCAGTATGCACTGCTGTATGACATGGCTGTTGCACAGATGACCTAACTGTTCCTCAGTAGCATTTTCTGCTGAGCTGCCTACAACTAAGAAACAGAATAGTGACACATGCCTATAATCCCAGCACTTGGGAGGCTGAGACAGTAGGATTGCTGTGAGTTCAAAGCCAGCCTGGGATACAAAGTGAGCTAAGGCCAGCCTGCACCACGTAGCAAGACCCTGTCTCAAAAAGACCAAAGGAGGAAGAGGAGGTAGAGGCAGAGGATAGAGGGAGGAGGAAGAGGAGGTGGAGATAGGGGAAGCTAGGGGAAAGAGGAAGAGGGGAAAGAGGAGGAAGAGTGATGCAGCTCCTGATCTGTGGTGGAGCCTGGGTTGGTGTCCTTGCTCGACCATGTACTTAGCTGTAGAATGGGGTGACACAAACTCTGCCTCATTGAAGGACATTTAGGGCCACATACATGATGCCTGTCTACAGAAGTGTCCCCTGCTACACACTGCTGATAGCTTCACTAGCAGTGCTTTTGGTCTCCTTTTTGTTTGGCTTTCTGACATTCCAGGTAAACTCCCATCAGCTTTCAGTTTGAAAATGGTAAAACCTGCTGAAAAACTGAAAGTTGTACAGGACCAGCTGACGCTCAATGGTTAACATCATACCACTTTTGCTCTTTTCTGTCCCTAATTTTTATTGTTGTTAAGCCATTTAAAGCAAACTTCAGATACCATGTCACCTCATTCCTGAAAATTTCAGCGTATATCCCTAATGTTAAATATACCCTGTCTTCCAGAACTGCACTAATACTTCCTAGCCATGGGCAAGCGTGTAGCCCAGTGATAGAGCACTAGCCTAGCATGCTGCAGGTCCTGGGTTTGACCTTGCAGTACTAAATAAAAAAAACAAAAAGAGTATTAGTGTTAATGGTATATTTCATTTCCTGTATAGTCCATGTTTAAAATTTGCTCATTTGACTTAAAATTATGATGTGGTTATTTTAGACCAGGATCTAATCAGTATGCATTCTGCGTTTGACTGTTGCCTCTGCAGTTTTATTCATTCTAGAACAGTCTTCTGCCTTTGTAAACTGATGACTTTCTGAATCATCTAGACAATTGTCTTGTAGATATTCCCTTTGGTCATGTGCTGTTTAGACCTTTCAGTCATCTTCGGTCCCCTTTCACCACCACCTGTGGTTCCTCAGAGTGATGCAGTGGACATGGGACTGACTGCTACCCCTCCCTGGATAGGACTCTGTAGACTGTGTTGACTAAGTCCAAGGCTGTGCTGTCTCCATCTCAGACTGACTTAATTGTTCTTAGGCAAAGCGGCTGCTGCCACTGGCCTTCTCGTCCATTTCTCCCTCTGTCATGTCTGGTAGAAGCTGCCCTGTGACTGCACAGTCTCACATGGGTGCCCTCTGAGCCAGTTTTGCAGAAGTCATTCCAGTGTCCTTTGTTTGACGGGCCTGGCCCAGGGAGAAGTCCGCCTGTCCCCATGTTTGTGTCTGTCTCCTGTACTTTGTACTTGGCTGCTTGTCTCGGCAGAGAACACTTTGCATCACCCCATGTGAGAGTAGAGTTTAGGACACAGACACACACACACCCTGTTGCTGCCACACGCAGGAGGTGGTAGGAAGAACATCCATGCCCCAGGGCCTCCAGTGCTGCCCACCTGCCTCAACACAGCTAGGAGCACAACCAGCAAGAGAGTGATGAACAGGGAGGACACCACAGCCTTGCAGTGGGAAGGAGAGTAGCACTGAGCTACAAATCAAGACAACCTGAGCCATCTCATCACTGTAGGTGGATGTGTGTAATCCTAGCATTTGGGAAGCTGAGACAGGAGGATCCCTAGGAATTGGAGGTCAGCCTGACCTACATGGTGAGTCCAAGGCCAGCCTGAACTACAGAGCAAGACCCTGTCTCAAAACAAAACCAAAACACTTAAATGAACAGGTATGTAAAACAAAAAGTATTGCTTAGAATTCTAATCTCTTGAAGTAATCTCCCATTTGGAGTTGGATTGTGCTTTCTGCTAGTATCAGCCCTCCAAAATGTTTGAAAACTTGAGATCATGTCTGTAGTGTTGTTTGTTTTATGGTCAGCATCGTCTTAATTCCATTCCAAGCCACTGCTGATGGTGGTGGTGGTGGTAATGGTGCATGTGTTGGAGAACAGAGCACATGCTCTACCACTGACCTCCCCCCTAGCCCTACTCTGTGGATTTTGGTAGGGAAAAGGGCAGCAAGAGTTGGCACCAGAAGGGAGGTTCTGGGGATGTGGGGAGAAAAGAAACCTTGTTTGAAGAAGGATCATGCTTCTGAGTCCTGTGACTGTCTGCCCTGTCTCCTCTTCCAGCTTCTTTATAAGAAAAAGGATCATAGTTTTCTCACTTCAAGATTTGCTTCTCCCAGTAATTGTGACAAGGCTCTTTCTTCCCATTCGTAGGTTGGCTTCTGACATTATGGATACAGATTGGTTCTGGTTTGAACTCGTCTTTATTTCCTGGGTTTTGCGACCTGTCCTTTACGTTTGTTGCACATTTCCTAAAACCTGAGTGTGTTCAAGCATGTAAATAGAACACCTTTCACACTGATCCACAGATGCTTTTAGGTGCAGCAGGCCTGGGACAACCTCTCTGCCTGCTTGCTAATAAGGTATTAGGTTCTCACTGTCACGGCTCCAGTTACATGGTGGGGCTGGAGGAGGAGTTCCATAAGGGTGCTGGCAGGATGGCAAACTTGGCAGTCAGAAGGACTCTATATTTCTGTCTTAGCAAGTGCTTTTTCCAGCTTTCAGCTATGTGGGATATCAGTGGAATATGTACTACTCATTGGTCCTTTCTAGAGTGGTGCAACTCTGTGACAGATGGCCTGGTCAAGCTGATGTACATGACAGGAAGTAGGCATATTTGATTCTGTATCATTTTTCTTGCTGGAGTGGGGCTACTCTTACAGCTTGCTCACTGCCCCAAGAATAATTGCTTGGGGTAGAATTTGCTGTGTCTGCAGCTGCTGGTGGCCGTAGGACAAAGTTTTAAGGCCTGTGTCTCTGGGAAGATGTGAGCCATAGCTTTCTACAGCTCAGGAAATACCTATGTCCTGCAGCATAGGATCACCCTGAGTAAGCTGCTCCATGCCTGCTCTCCCTGCTATGTAGGTCTGGGTCCCTGGTGCCCTGCTTGCCGTGGTTCTGTTGCCCCAT